ACCGAACTCCTGGATGACGTTCTGGTAGGCGGATGTTCCCGGCAGGTACACCTCATGACCGAGCTGATCGCAGTCGATCCGCACGGCACCGAGACCCTCCAGTCTGAGTGCTATTGAGCTCTTGCCCGACCCGCTGCCACCCGTCAGACCAATCACATAGGGATCCAGAGACAGATCCGGCTGCGGCTGCAAACACAAGAACAGGAAATCAAACCAAGATCTACAAGAACTATGTGGATAAAATCTAATTAATAAACAAATAATTTAATTTTTTTCAAAACTAGATCAAGAAATAAAAATGTTAATGCTAAGTTAAATGTTAAAATTTGTCACATGACAAAAAATTAAATAAATATGAATACGTCTACAATTTTAGTTATCTAAAGGAGCCCATTTAGTCAATTATTAAATTTGACCTTTAAAAAGGTTACATGAATAATTGCTCATAAACATATATATGAATGTACACTATCGTTGAAAAGTTTGAGTTTTTTAAAGAAATGTATACTTTTATTCAAAACTGCATTAAATAGATAAAAAGTGAAAGTAAAAACATTTATAATAATAGAAAAACACTTCTATTCTGCTCTTTTGAGCTTTCTATTAAACAAAATAACCCGACAAAACGGTATTCCACAAAAATATGAAGCAGCACAACTGTTTTCAACATTGATAATAATAATAGTAATAATAATAATGAGCAAATCGTCATATTAGAGTGATTTCTGAAGGATCACAGAAGACTGGAGTAATGATGCTGAAAATTCAGCTTTGATCACAGGAATAAATTACATTTTAAAATACAAATAATATTCTAAATTGTAATAATATTACTGTTTTTTTCTGTATTTTTGATCATTTTAGTTTCATCAGTTTTGAACTTTAGTGTATATGAGTAAATATATAATCTCAAAAGAAAAAGCAGTAGCAGCGAAGCCAAACCAGTCATCACATGATCAACAAGATCCACATGACTGAATATCCGTCATTAAATTACACCAGCAGTCACACTGCCATGACTCTTTAAATTAATGTCTGGAGACCCGTGATACAGAGGTCTGTCACTCTTTCTGCTGAACAAGCTTTACGTCCATAATCCTGCACTGAAAAAACATCTCAGGGACACGAAACCACCTGACATTCATCCCGATGAGGATGAGGAACACCATTCACTAACTCCTCCTGCACACAGACCTTTTCCAATAACACATGCTTTAGTTCAAATATACCAGATTCAAAGGATCATAAATAGGACAGTTATTGAGTAATGAATGATGGACAGAACATTATGTGATTGTGCAATTTTTTTAAGTACTGGTGAATATGAATGAATGAATGTTCATACAGGTGGAGGTTTGAGCAGCGTTCCCAGCAATCGTGTTCTCAGGCTGGAAGAACTGATCTTCTCCTCCTCGATGTCAGCGTGATGGGCGTCCTTCAACAGCTGGATCTCGTACAGAAGCAGTTCAGCCAATCCCTGCACAGACACCAACACTTAATCGCACACCGTGAATAAACAAACGACCAAAAACTGGCCAAAAGCCGACAACAGCAAAGTCCAAATGCACCGTGGTCAACATGGTAAGGTCAAAGATCACAAACGTCTAACTGCACTCTAAACAATGCTGGGTTGTTTTAACCCAAATTTGGGGAAAATATGGACAAACCCAAATGTTGGGTTAAAAAATGTACATTTTTTAATTGCATTTTTAACCCAACATTTGGGTTTGTCCATATCTGACCCAAATTTGGGTTGGAACCACCCAGCATCTTTTTTGAGTGGTGACAACAAATGTACATTAAACTTCCAGAGCAAAATATGTTAATTTATAAGCATTTTAATGTATGAACTTAAGTTTAATTATTATTAATATTGTATAAAACACTATTGTACAAAAGTTTGGCGTCTGTTAAACGTTTTTGAAAGTCTCTTTTGTTCACCAAGGCTGCATTTATTTGAACAAAAATACAATAAAAACAGTGAAATATTGTTACAATTTGAAATAACTTTTGCATTTGAATATATTTTAAAATGTAATTTATTCCTGTGATCAAAGCTGAATTTTCAGCATCGTTACTCCAGTCTTCAGTGTCACATGATCCTTCAGAAATGACGATTTGCAGCTCAATACGTTTTTTTGAGATATCTTTGATAAATAAAGTGCAAACGTATAGCATTTACTGGAAATAGAAATAATGTATAATATTATAAATGGGCTTACTGTCATTATTTTCCTTCATAAGGAAAATACAACTAACCCCAAACTTTTGAACCATAGTTTATATTGGTTTTATTATTTAACTAACAAATACATTTGAGCTACTGTATGTCACGATTGTGGTTTTCTGTTATATTCACAAAAAATTTTTTTTTTAATAGGAACCAACGGTCTCACATTTTCCACACGTTTCCTGTTGACAGCTTCACCTCCTTTCCTCGTCTCCTCGCTGACCACAATGCACTGCAGCTCAGGGTCGGTTATGGAGGGGCCGAAGGGGTCCGAGAGAGGAACGATTTCATACTTGAGTGATGGTTTCACGTCGTTCAAAAAATCCCGGAGCTTCTGGACGCGCTGATCGTATGGCTCTATCAACTCCTTTAAGACCTTATCTACGCATTAGAGTCAGAAAATAAGAATAAATATACAAGATTAGACAGTTTTTCTGTGGTTCAAACTGTTTCGCCACAGTTCCAAGTGGTTTATCAGTTGATAAAAATGGTGGCAGAACGAGGCGTTATTTATTTATACACACACAAAAAAGCTCAGCACAGAATGGCCTTTAGTCATATTCTGCCAAAAAAAAAAAAATCAATCAGAGAGGGCAATGGCTTTTTAAGTAGTGTATTTGCTTAAATATGGCTAATTTCCTGAAATTATAACTAAACGCTTAGTGTTTAGCCATTTTGGGCTTGGCTCAGAAGCATATAATACAGATTCAGTTTCTAAGCAGCTTCACAGTCATAAACAGGGAAATTACAGAATCAGTGATGCAAACCATCAAATATGAGAATTCAAAGTCAGTGTTGATTCAGTTTAGCTCATCAATTATGAAATGAGTTAAATTCAGCTACACTAAAGTAATTTGTCATCCAACAAACTTGTAAAGCTTTCCAGAGGGGCTCCACTTACTTTTTAGGAGTTCCTGGTCGCACACACCAATGACAAAACGTCTGTTGGCCAGCAGACAGGAAATATTCAGCAGGGTCTTGTGGGCGCCATGTAGACGGTCAAAAGTGCCGCCGACAACCACATCACTGAATGTATCTAAAGGTTTTAATTGTGCACCTCTTCCTCCTCTATCATCATCTTCCTCTCCGCTCACCTCTTTTAGTCGTGGGTACAGAAGCACGGATGAGAGGCTCGGGGTGCAGACGTAGCAGTGACCTGTGTATTTCTGCAAGCACTGGGTGACCAGCGAGGACTGGCCTGAATCCTGGATGGGGAAATCTGTCAGCACGACTTCCGGCGAGTGGGACAGCGTCTGTGGGGTGGGGAACGGGCCGTTGTTTCCGCTCAACGGTGCCGGTTGGCCACGGACATTTGTGAGCAGGACCCTGACATCAAGGTGAGCGCAAATGTCGGCTGCGTTGCTGTAAAGGCGGGAGATGAGAGTGCAAAGGTCAGCCACGGGTGGGATGTAGACGGGCCGCACCTGCACACCGGTGCCCAGGTTCAGGCCGGGGTGGAGATGGACGTAAAGCGTGCGCTCAACCACCTGGGCGGCAGACGTGAGTACAGGCGCTATGCGGAGAGGAAGAACGTGTAACGGAGACGTAAGGACCAGGATACCGGTGCTGAACATGGACATGATTGACAGCCGATGGAGACGCTGAAAGATATAATATAGATATAACACAGTGATCATGGAAAAACTGCTTTATGCAATATGCTCATAAATACATATGAAAATGCATATCTTACATAGTCACTGTGCAACTAATAAATACCACAAATAAATTATTATGTAGTTATGTTTTTGCCTACAAAAAAAAGGAACCTAGCTCTTTAATCTTGCAATTTTTGTTAAATTAATTCAATAAATTAATTTAATAATCGGGATAGAATAGAAATATTGCTGTTAGTCTTGGAACGTTTGATACATTTCAATCAAAAATGACTAATAAAAATGTAAACAAGATAAGAACAGAATAGGGGAAATTTCATACACATACGTAGCCTAAATACCTTTAATAACTAATTTACTGAATCGGTTACTTATTTAAAGTAGCAACAGACATTGAAAAATTGCTGAGCTCTTATATTTCCTATATCGATTAATGATTCCAGCCAGGTTAGTGCGAAATCAACACAGCTGATCCGGAAAAAAAAACACAACACACAATACAATAACACCAGACTACTTCAGCAAAACCTACCTTGTATATTCTGCCGATTAGGGTGTTGAGAAATGCTAAATGTGGAATAATATTGCAGATGACAACTGTCTAATATCAGCCTTCGTCATACTGACCATATAAAACACTAATGTTTTGCTCAGGAGACCGAACTCATGTCCAGTTGACCTAGACGGCCATGTGCTGGAATACTGACTGCTGATTGGCTGTCAGAGAGAGTTCCTGCCCTAATGAATCATGGGAACTGTAGTTTATAAAGGCGTACGTCACCATATATGAACATTTCTCTTCTTGTCATTTCAGATTATTTAGACAAATTATTATTTTTATCATCATAAAATGTTATTTTTTAAATAATTCCACTTTTCAGATCAAGTTCTAGTGAGGATAATCCTCTATGAACTAATGGCCTTTCACATACAAGGCTTAAAGAGAGATTATGACAGAATTAGGCCTTGGTTAAAAAAAATAGGACATTTAAGTAGCTTTAATAAACGCGCCTTAGAAAAAAAAACAAGTTGCTTTCAATTAAAACATCCATTTTAACTTATTTGTGTCATACAGTAATGAAAGAATAATGACAACAACAACAATAAATACTTCTTTGGAGGGCCTTTGACTGTATTTATGACAGACCACTAAAAAGTATTAAAAGTACAGATTTTATTTGACAAAAATACAAAAATAACTTTTCAATTCAGAAATTTCTAATGTACAAGGTCTTAGTGACTATCTGTCTGTGCAGGGTAACAACAAATAATTGTAGAAAATCTAAACAATGTCCATAACTATCTCCTTAAACAATTAAACTCAATCTGAAGATAGTAATAAACTTTCAAAGTTTCACAGGCTCATTTCAAAGATATTTGTGCATCCATTTTATAATGTCAGCCAACTTCTGTAGCAGTATTTTGTCTGGCAGACGGGATGCAGACGGGAGGAATGACCCAGTTTATTTTAATTTAATTTAACAAAGCAGCGAATTTACAATGCCTATAACCATGTATTGTCTATAACATTTTTTCCCCATTTCACACAATATTTAGGGATGGCAAAATAGATTAAGTATATACAGTATATTTGACATATATAAAAAACCTGAAATGTCATCAGAAACCTGAAACAAATGCACACAATTTTTGTGCTAAGACTGAGAACAGAAACAACAGCAAATACAGATACAAATCCTTGTCCAACTCATTGCAAGAATATTGACAACAGTACTCAAGGGGGCGATAGAAATAACTAATTTTCACAGCAAGCCATTGCTAATGCTCACTGAGAATGCAAAGTGTACTTGCATTGCATTAAGAAGGTTGTGCAAAACTGAGTTTACTAGATCGCAAACTCGGACATCATTTGTTTCAGGCCTAAAAAATCAACACTTAAAATGGTAGCGGTGCTGCTGACATTGCTTTTGCAAAATACACATTCATATGCAATAAACCTCAGTATCTGATATAAAAAGCAATCAGGATTTCTACAAGATTAGAATGTCATATTAGTCTCTCATAAAAGTTTAGGCATCGTTTTAAAAGAAAAGTAAAAAGATAAATAAAATCCAAGCTGGTGTTTTGACCATTGTTGGCCACCATATCAGTTTGATACCTAAATGTTTTATGGTGGATTTCTGAGGATCAAACTCATCAAGTTCTCTTCATTTTAGGCTTTTCAGCGCATATGGGTAGTATTTGAGGAAGATCCGTCGTGCAATGTCATATGTGTTGCCCAGTGGTTTGGACGGATATTTCCTCTGGTTGTAGACGAACCCTTTCTCAACCTGGAACACGGCCTGGTTGAACACGTCCTGTTTGAAGGGTCTTCCTCTGTCCAGACACTCCACTAGCGTATTAACAAACAAGCCCCAGCGCTGTAAATAATAGTCTTCCACTAGACCACCCCACTCCTTGCTGGCGTAGTCCAGGATTTCCCCATCGGGTCCCCATAGGGTGATCTGATTTCGTGCATTGATATCATACAGCTGCGCCTCGTGCTCGTCCACACCCTGAGACTGAGCCTGATCAAGCCACGCCCCCAAAAGGAAGTGTTCGTTGCTGGAAAGGAGACGGTCCAGTTCAGGTAAGAGATCGTAGACAAGCACACCACCAGCAGTCAGGAGGTCAGGAAGCTTTTGGGCCTGAGAATCGAACAAAGAACATAATATTTCAAAATATATACATAAATAAAAGCGCAAAATAAAGGGATACTTCACCTCTGGAAAGATGAATGTGTATTTAAAATGTATGTAGAAGAAATGTGAAATTGTTTTTGAACTTGGAGCTTTCTAGACTGAGAAAAGCCAGAAAAATGTCATTTTTGGCTTATGTGGATGAAAGACAACAACTCCCAGAATGCACTTGCTTCGCTGCCCTAGGAGGCCACGCCTACCAGTAACAGAGAACAGTAGTTAAACAACAAGTGTAGGCCACTAGTGAGTCTCCATGATGAGTCTGCCTAAAAATGTGTTTCTAGATCTCCCAAAATGTCGGGATTCGGCTTTTGCGTTCTACAGTCGCCATTCATTATGTTTATTGTGGCGAGCGGGACGAGTGAGGGCCGCGGGAGAACGGCGCGAGGCCGGTGGCGTGATTACCGATGAGCGATACCTGTGAGACGCACCGGTCCCGTTTCTCTCACGGAGGAGCGGGAGCTCATCAACCGATCACTTGTTTAGCGTTCATGTAAACACTACATTCAGATTCACCAATCGGAATGAATTCAGTTAGATTGAAACAAAAGCTGTGCATGTAAACAATGAATGTCGACTGCAGAAAGCAAAAGCTGAATCCCGGACATCGGCGGCCAGATATGTCCGGGAAAAAGAGGATGGTAACCCCTACTACTCAACTTTCTACACAGAACAAGAGCCTTATATTAGCTTCCAAAAAAAGATGGCCGACACTATGTGTTCATTCTGTGAGTGAGATCCTACCATAGACAGTATAAGAAATGGACAGAGCGATCTCATTGGAACTCCATTGAGACGATTGAAGCCCGTTTTTGGCGATTTTTTTTTAGCACTTCCGTTAATTATTTTGTCATTTTGCCTCCACGTTTCCCTGATTGCGCGCGAGCTTCTTCTCCTGTCCATACGGTAATCTCTTTACTGTGCGACAGAGAGTCGCGTGGATATGACGCAATCGTTAGCTTAGTTTCACTAAAACTGCTTCTACGGGGCCATAACATAAGCTACAAGGTAATGGAGCATTTTATACATTATACAAAGGACAAATGGGGTCTTCAAACGCCTCAGATGTAAAGTTATTCGCTGTCAAAGTGACGCCAAAATGAATGGGAGTCAATGGGATGCTAACGCAAGTGAAGTTCTGCTACAAGATGGCAGCTCCCGCGAGGCTTCAACTTCCGGGCCAAATGGATTACCCCCTTGGATCCTACAGGTCCTACAAATACTACAGGTTTTCTGCTAATACAAAGCTTAATGCTAAATCCTGAAGTATCCCTTTAAATCTATTCATCATATAAAGTGATCGAGTCTCTTTAGAAGACTTGAATTAAACCGCTCGATTCATAAAGATTTATTTTACGATCTTTTTCTGAATTTTTTTAAGCTTCAAAGTGGTAGTTGCGTAGCTGTCAATGGAGGGATAGAAAGTCCTCAGATTTCATCAAAACGATCTTCATTTGTGTTACGAAGATGAACGAAAGTCTTAGAGGTTTGGAACGACATGAGGGAACTATCCCTTTAAATTTTCAACTAATCAGGCTGGGGTGCGTTTCCCGTACAATGACATGGTTCACTGTTTCACTACCATAGTACGATGTATCGTTGGAAAAATCAACTAGCTAGTCACGACTGTTTCCCGAAACCCACTGTCGCAAAGTATCGTTCAACCACGTTGGTTTCGCACGTGGCGGAGTAATAACTACTTTTAATGAAACTGTTTGAGATCCAATTAACGCTAGATTTGTTTTATATAAATTACAGACATGTCATCTGAGGACTATTTCTAATTGCTCTCAGTTGTTTTGCTTTAATACCAGACTCAATATTTGACTCGTTCTTACATAGTAGAGCACGTTCGCACATGCGCACTCTTCAAACACGTTACTTCAAATCTTTTGAAAAACTAAAGACGTAAATTACATTTGTATGTATTCTAAATAAAAGGCACCGGTTTTACTGAATGTCAGCTTGCTTATTTTGCTCAAGATAAGGATTTATTACTTCCAAATGTCTTCTAACTACAGGTCGAGAGCTGTCGTTCAAACCACACAACTTTGCGATGCTGTTTCCGAATGTTCGTTGGAACGATGGTTTCGGGAAACACCGATTCGTTGAACTATGCTGATAACGACGGAACTTGCGACCATAGTTGGCTAACGATGCTTTCGGGAAACGCACCCCTGGTTTGCTAGTTCATCAGTCTCAACCGTAACCATTGCGTTTGTGTTTACCTGGAAAGCATTGCGTATTTCCTTGTAGAATTCAGTTGTAAGAAGCTGAAGAGCTTGTCGCGTCACGTCCGCAAGATCATACCGGAAGGTTTCCAGAGTGACTAACCCTGGCGATGCCTCGAACAGAAGCTTCCATGCCTTGTAGAAGTCGGCCGGTTTATACCAAATGTCTGTTTGCATGTGCAGGGACGGCCGATGTACCAAAGGACTCCGGTTGTGGTTCTTGTATTTCGGAAGAGTGCAGTTGTAGACGCTGTGAAACAAGAGTTGCCAGGCCACTGTCAGGTTCTCATCCATGGTACCATAGCGCCGCAAGGCGTACAGCGATACCCATTTGGAAAGGTTGACAGGTTCTTTGCGCCAGGCCAGCTCAGTCATGAGCTCGTAAACAACTGGGTTCTGCTCGATGCCTTCAGGGGTCAAACCCAAACCCACTAGGGTCGAATTCGGGAAGCGGATGGCATTGAAGGGGCCGGAGTTAATGCTCTCCACCGTTCCAAACAGACCGCTATTCCCTCCAAAATTGTGAAGCATGCACCAGATAAACGGCTGGCCGTAGAAGGAGTTTGTGGAAGAGTAGACAGGCATGGATTCAGCAAAGAGATCCAGGACAATCATGCGCCCCAGGGGGACGCCGTGTAACAATGCCTTGACCTGGTCTGGTTTCCAGAACGAAGGGTCACTGATAAATAGCCAGCCCTGCATCAGCCAAATCGCTTGAGGGTCCGCTGGCAGAAAGAGAGAGTAAATAGGAGATAATAAGTAATCAACGCATCTGTGTGAGCAGTTGTGAGGGCGCCATGCCTCAACCCATCATGGGGTTGGGAACTCCAACTGTGCCTCAGAAAAGAAACAGGTCAATGGTGGGTTATAAAACTAGAGCAAATGCAAAATGAGCAACATCTAGGACAACACCACTTGAGCTATTTTCAATTTGTTGCATAGTTACCTGAAGTCATAGTACTGAAAACGGCACGGCTTATAGATGCCAGGTAAGTGGGGTCTGAGGAGGCTGGGATCATCTCATTAAAGGTGTCTGTGTTGTAAATGTGGTCTGTTCCAAACTCCTTAATGACCTGGGTCAAAAAGAGCGTTCCTATTCGCTGGAAGAGCGGGTCGCGTGGGTCCAGGACGTAGGCGCAGGAGTAGGTGCAGTTAAAATGGCTCCAGGGGCTCAGCTTGGTCACGTTTGCTTGGGGAAACAACCTATGGGACATTGCTAAATGTGATTATCACACTATCTTCACATATCTGGTTATATGTTCTTTAGACATTTTTTTTGCATTGATCATATCCAAGTAAATTATTATGCGGTTTATTATTTTTTTTTAACGCCATTTCAGCGACGAGGCTATTTTCATGGTAAATAACAAAAACGTACAATTAACAAAAAGCTATACAAGACATAAAATACATTGAGGTGAAACTTTTTAAATACATCAGTTCCAAAATATCTCTGAATAAAAATGTTTTCTAAATTAAAAACAGGGCAGTCCAGTAAAATATATCATTGGAGTTTAACAAGTTGATGCCTCTTTGCCTTTCACTTTATAACCGTGTGTGAATCATAGTATAAACAACTTTCATATTTCAGAAATCATACCTTGATTTGAAATTACGAAAAAACAACAACCTTTTTCTTATACTATGATTTATTTAATGCAACTTATTTTCATTATCCAAAGAACAGTTGTAAAAATGCACTCAAAAACATCTCCTGAAAAATGTGAGAAAGACATATTTGAGGAATATTACCTGGTAATACCTTCAGGTACTATTCCTGAAAAAGCAGGCAATACAGGTATCATCCCAAAAGATCTCATACGGTCCAATATTTTAAACTGCAGGAATAAAAGGTACAATATTTAAAAGCTTTTTAATCCATGACTATGTGCAACTCGATTTTTACATTTTATGGTGGTGTTTGAAAAAATAAATAAAAATATTGATATATATATATATATATATATATATATATATATATATATATATATATATAATAAATCCTCACTTGTCTGGTTTATGCTACTTTGAGCAATGTTTGAACTTTGTATTTTGAGCACTTCTTGTGTTATTTTTGCCTCTTCACGATAACTCTTTGGTTTGGTTTAGTCCTCAGATGCAAGTCGCTTTGGATAAAAGCATCTGCTAAATGACTAAATGTAAATGTAAAAAATGTTTGCCTATGCAAAAGTTATCATAATGCTAGAGTGCCTGTGATGTCTTTAGTAAGATAGGTTTTTAGCAACTTGTAAGCTTGTTTTATGATTGCTACCCAACAAGTCTCTATGACTGCCTCTGATATTCTGTGACCTCTTAATATCAGTGGAGTAAAGTATTTGAGAAAATGTAATTAGTTACTATACTTAAGTATCTTTATGGTTACTTTGTAGTTTTATTGAATATCAAAGATATAAGCAACTTTGGCTCTCTGCACTCAGTATATGCACTCTTTACCCCAATACATTTGTATGAAAGCTTGATTTCGCCACAGAATAAAACATTTTAAATGATAAATTCTGACTTTATTTCTTAGAAATGTAAGATATAAAGTCCGAATTGCGTAAACAAGTTGAAATTGCGTGTTATAAAGTCAGAATTGCAAGTTTATCTCTCACAAATGCTATGTTCAAGCTCATTCCTAAATAGAAAATAGTAAAAATAAAACCTGAAAAATACGACCACATCACTCCTTTTGTTATCTGATCAAAAGTCTGCTCAGTACCTGCAGGTAGAGCTGTTTGACATGCCAAGACTGAGGAAGTGGTCCTCCCCACTGAAACAGGTTTCCCATGCGGTTCCACGCTAGGAAAGCTGGACCTGTGAAGAAGCGATCCATCTCAGTCTGGTTCAAACCGAGAGACCGATAAACCTACAGCACATCAGGAAAAGAAAACAGGCAAATATAAAAACACAATACTCTGAAAAATATACATTTATAAAACTGAATTGACAAATACTCTCACCTCTTGCCATAGCACCTCCTGTCCAGTGAATGCCAGAGGAAGATTTATGCCGTTCAGTGCCATCCAATCAATCTCCCTTTGCCACCTCGGCCAATCCCACCACACGGAGGAGTAACTCTGGGTACACACGTTCTGATAGTACCTGAACCTTCAGTTACACAAACACTAAAATAGATGAATTTGCTGAAATGGGTTTGCTGGCACAGTCTCAGCTGTAAGGAACACGACCTCATTCATAACGTCATATTCACATTGTGTGAAAATCACTGTTCGCCGGCATCTCTGAAAGTGACATAGTACAGGCCTGCTCATGCAGAACTAACAAGACAAACACAATCAGACGACAAATAAGGTCCGGCTACAACAGAACATGCGCATGAATTATAGCGGAGAGAATCAACAATGCTGCATTTTCACACACACACACACACACACACAGTGGGGCTGTCCTGATTGGATACATGAGAAAATGTAGAAGAACGAAACAAAAACAACTGCTCATATAATGACAAGATGGCTGCAGAAACATGCAAATAAACAAAATGAACAAAGAAGACGCATAGACAATCTGGCCTAGACTGCTAATAAAGAGTGCATTAGTCTATTAGTCTATAAAATTATGCTTATTTGCACAAATCTGAACTACATTACATTACAATGAATAAACATTAAATCGTCCAGCTTAATCACACTGTAATAGTTACTGGTATTTCATTTTGTTTGATATCTGTACTACAACAGACATTAAATGTTAAATGATTTTGCAACTAAATTGTGCTTGACCAAAATTGATTTTTCAATACCTGATAATTTCTCAAATTAATTTTTTTTTACACAATATTTAAAATGAAAACATTCTGCACAAAATTCCAGTTTATTTTGAATTGACAAAAAGAGGAATATGTTAATTGATATGATAATTGGCAAATATCACCAATATCTAATTTTTGTTTTAGTCCAAGTATGGAAGGTTGCAAGAAAAGAGGAGAAAAGTGAACGTCAATTTGGATTGGGATTGATGTTTAACGTAGCCTGCCCCATTGCCATAACAAGGTGTATGTTAATCTTAAAATATCACTAGTATCTAATTTTTGTTTATCAAAATATCTGGAAAAATTGGATCAGATATGAGCTTTAATCCCTATAGGATTAAGAAATCTGCGGAACATATATCAGATTTAAGAATTAAAATGCAAATAAAATGCAATATGAACATTTACGTTTGAAACACTCTCCAGACCTTCTATGATAATGATATGATTAATGATAATTTATTTGCCCTGTAATTTCATTTATGTGTGGCTTTTTTTTTAACATATGAATTCCTGTATGGCTCAGTGACGAAAATATTAATAATTAAAAAAAAAATAATAATACATAAAATAACATAATTAATGTTATACTCTGTGGAATATGTTTTATATATTTTTTTTCGAACTTTCTTTTTTACTTATGATTTATAGTCTCAATATCGACTTTTTTTCGAGCTATGGAGATTTGTAACATGTGTACCTGTGCGGTGTTTTGATGCGCAGGACGCCGGTGAGAGGAGGCAGAGGTCGGGGGAGATTTAACTGATCTCCAGACCAGGACACATGACAGTTACAGAAGTATTTCAGATAGTTGTATATCCCGGTGGCCACCGCGACCCCCGTGCTGCCCACAGCTATGATCTTGTTGTTTTTCGCGGATCGCAGCTCACACACGTCTAAAGTGTCATTAGACAGAGTTCTGTTGACTGACACGATGAAATCCCGAGATCTGTTGCCCAGCAGTCTCCTGAGCAGGTCCACCACAGCTCTGGACTGGGTTTTATCGCTCGCCTTCGCTCTCAGATGCGCGAGAGTCTGGAAGTCGCTGCAGACCGATTGCAACAATGCAACAAACACCAGCGCGAGCAATGCGCTGCGCGTACACTGTCTCATTTTCAGTTCGGTGACGTTAGTTGCATCGGTGCAACAGATGTAGGTTTTAAAACTTTACACTTTTCTACTATTGATTTCCTTCGCGTGAGCAGGAAGCAATGTGTGTCAATGGGGAGGCAGGCGACCAATCACGAGACCGTCTCAGTGGCCTCTGAGGAGTTTGAGCCAATGAGAATTCCGGATTGGAAGAAAACGAGGAAACTTTGTTGTATTCATCACATGATTCCATTCCAATGAATGTGTGTGATCCTTATAATGACATACACAACTGATTTTTATGAAGCTGTTTAACAGTATAAACATATAGCGATGCTGTTTATCAGGAAGAAAATGATGAGGAAATTGGCAAAGATTGGATGGTTATTATGAAACTTCCCAGTTCAAATGGGCGGTGAAATGCACATTTTATTACAATAAATCGAACAACTTTACAGAAAATAGTTATAAAGACAAAGTGTGGCAAGGAAAATAAGGAAAATGGTCAGGTAAATAAGGAAGAACATTTGGATCGGGAACCAGTCTCTACTTGGCACATATTTAAATAAATGCTATATTGTGATAATGATAAAACCATAATTATCCATAATTTTCCTTATGTTTAGTAATAATTACATTGTTATTTAATAAACAATTAAATCAACTACAGTAAAGCAACAGACTGGATGTATCAATTTATTTATAAATTTATTATATATATATATATATATATATATATATATATATATATATATATATATTCTATTTATTTTTATTTAACATTTATTTTATTTATTTTTATTTAATATTTATTTTATTTATTTATTTATGAAAAAGATACAGCAATGAGGAAGGCATTGCACATTCATTGAAATAAATCAGTGTATGTGTTCAGACTTTTATTTTGAAGGGTGGCTTGACGGAAGTCAATGCAGCGTCCTGTGTGTAAAAGTTACTGGTAAGAATTTGTTTTTTCGCTATTTTCGTGAAACTTCATGAAGGACGTGAGTATAATTAAATAATTTTTGTTTTTTTTTATAAAATATATATTTATGAAAAGATTAGGCAACCCAGAAAGTTGATAGGAAGCAAGCACGTGGACATTTGGACATTAAACACCTCCTCTAAGTTAGGTCTCTATTGATTCTATTGAAGCATCTGTTTTAGAACTGTACTGATGAAATGTGAAGCTCACTGTGAGTTATTTCACAAATCTCATATTATTGTTAACATAAGCAAGAACTGCATTCACATAAATGCACACATTGTAGTGAAATGCTGTTATATGAGCTCTCAGTTATTTACTTCACAGATCAGTGTTTATTGTAAAGATGTCAGAAGAGGTCTTGCTGGCTCGCGTGAAGGCTTTGGAAGAGGAGGTGGGGAGACTGAAAGCTCAGCTGAAAGTAGAGAGAGATGGAGCTGGGACAGAGGAGAGAACTGAAGCATCAGACAGCTTCAAACATCAGAAAGTTGAAGAGAACAGATCCAAACAGAAGAAACGAGGAGCAGAAAGGCCCTTTGACTTCTCTGCACATCCTCGCAGACATGTGGCACTGAGGCTGGCATATCTCGGCTGGCAATATCAGGGCTTCGCTGTCCAAGAAAACACAGACAACACCGTTGAAGCCCGGCTTTTTGAGGCCCTGCTGAAGACTAAACTGATCCAGGACAGACAGACCTCCAACTATCATCGCTGCGGCCGCACAGATAAAGGAGTCAGTGCTTTCTCTCAGGTACTGTGTTCAATTTCATCATGGGTTCCTACAATCTTGGAAAATAGAGATTAAACAATAATGTATTATACAGCTGATATACCATATAATTAATTTTTCCATGTGTCTGATCACCATTATAATGACCTCATTAAACTATAACAACTAAAAGCATGACATGAATAATACAATTAATCATTATTTTATTATTGTATTAATTATTTTTATTATTGTATACATCTGTAGTGTCATGAATTCTTGATATTCATTTTTTTATATTTATACTAATTTATATTTCTGTAAACTGTGTCTGATAACGTATATTTAGAACCATTTTTTTACAAGAATAATTTTGCATATATATTTATTATTCAATTAGATTATAAAAAGTATATATATTTATGTATATTTGTTCTGTCAAATTCATTAACAATCACGATTAATCACATCTAACATAAACAATTGTGTTTATATTAGATATGTGGGTATTTACTATTAGTAAACTTATGGATTCTTGATATTGATGATTTCTGGCTGAACTTAAATTCAGAACCAATTTTTTATTATTTAATTTTGACGCAATAACAATAACATTGAAAAATAAACATTCAATTATAACAACTAAAATCATAACATGAATTGCAAATTTAAATATATTAAAAAAATATTTACTATTTAGGCCACGTGATCTTTATAATAAATATGTTTTCATATTTTGTAAAGTCATGGATTCCTGATATTGATTGTCTTCTCCAGGTTATATCCATTGATCTGCGCTCCACGCAGTACGGAGGAGGTTTAGGTGTGACTGTCCCGGCTGACGTGGAGGTCAAAGGCAAGGCTTCTTCAGAGGAATTACCCTATGTGAAGATCCTAAATCGAGTCCTGCCTCAGGACATCAGGATACTGCAATGGGCCCCTGTAGAAAGCGGCTTCAGTGCTCGCTTCGACTGCCAGTCCAGAACATACAGATACTACTTTCCTCGTGGAGACTTGGATGTGCAACGCATGGCAGAGGCTGCTAAACGGTCAGTAGATGAAAACTTCAACATTATAACCCTATCTACTCTGACTCTGCTTAAAAAATATGATCTACAGTCAAGTTTAAATAAAATAATGCCTCTGAATTGATGAGAAATACACCATGTCTTTATTCAGGAGCTCGGTCACAATGGCTTCTTCTTTGTGTTTCCCTGGCCATGCAGGTATGAGGGAACACACGACTACAGGAACCTGTGTAAGATGGATGTTGGTAATGGAGTCTTGCAGTTTCAAAGGACCATCTTGTCTGCCACCGTCCAGCCAGCCCAACTCAACCCCACCTGTCCTGTCGACCCCCACCAACTCTACGTCTTCCAGGTCAAAGGTCTTGCTTTCCTCTATCACCAGGTAAGGATCCCACCGTATACAGGAGGCATTTGATGCTTAAAGAAGAACTCCGGGGCAAAACAAACCTTTGGTCTAATCACTTTTGGTCTAATCTACTCACTTTTGACCTGAAGGATTTTTCTAGTAATATAAGGAAAGTGCTATTGAACAACCAGTTGTGCCAGCGTAGATAATTCTGTATGTAAATATGACTTTTTAGTGAGGTTTTATTGATGGTTGAAATAGACAATGGATGGATGAATGAATTAATTGATAGTTGTATTTGAGCGACTAATTATAACATTTTATATTGTATATTTTGCATTGTAATTCACCTGCTCGGGGACTGCAGATGGAAACTAGATTAAGCTAAATCTGGTGCAAAGCATCTTTAATGAATGTTTTTTTGCACATTGTCCCTGTTGAAATAAATAAATAAATGAAATGAAATGAAATAATAACACATTGGTACCTAGTAGTCAACCGTTCTCTTAGATTTGTTTTCAATTTTTCAATTTCAATTTATTTATAAAGCACAAAAATATTTTATAAAGACAGACAGTCCACTTCGCGTATACAGGCAGGAGCCATCTTTGGAAAACAGTCACGACAAGTCAAACCACGAACGACGTGACAAGTGTGAATGAAGATCAGCGAACTTATGAACTGTATGAACGGCGTTCGTGGTTCATAACTGATCTTTGCTTTTGCAGGTTCGCTGCATGATGGCTTTGCTGCTGCTGATTGGACAGAAACTCGAAGCTCCAGAAATCATTGATCAGCTGATGGATGTGGAGAAAAACCCAAGGAAACCTCAATACAGGTGAGATTTATTTCAACATTTCCATAGCTAAACCTTGATCCCACATGGTGTTACTTATTACAGCTTTTCCACTGTCATCTCTTGGCTTAGACCAGCATGAACTGGATTTTTTACGATGCTTAAAGGGTAACTACTAAACCCCTGGTCAGAGCCTGACTCCACCCACTGGCAATATTTGAAAATGCTGAAAAAGTGGAGATAGAGGGGACGAAATAGATGCTAAAACACTCTATCCTGATCGTTTTCAATATTCACAATTGCAGTTCCTGACTCCCTACAGTGGTTTTGACGACACAAGATGGTTTTTATACGTAGCTCGCGTGGTGAGCTGAAACCTGCGTACGTCAGTGCAGAACATCCAATAGGAAAATTCAACTGCAGTAGCCACCCTTCAACCTGAAGAGGGCAGCACTAAGACGCTTTTACTCCATATATTGTAGAAATAAAACACTTTATAAACAAATGTCAAAAAAGTTACTCGAATCAATGACACATTGTGGTATTAATAAAGATCCATTCTTACAGATCATTAACTAAAAAAAGTTTAGTGTTTAGTTACTCTTTAAATTTCAGACCGGTAGGAATTTTAGTAGGACTCTAAATTAGTGACCAATTCTTTTTCTTTTTTTTTTTCATGGAATATGCAGTATTTATTATAAATTATTTATTATTATTATTTCTTTTTTTTTTTTTTTTAGAAATTAAGTTTTTATTGGTTTTCTCATATATAACAAAATATATACATAAATAAATGCAACAATCAAAATAATAACAATGAATGAAGGAAAAAATAAATAAATAAAAAGGTTATAGTTTATGCACAACAGTATAAGCAAGTTACAACTCAAGCCTGTAGTCATCCTTCAAAGTAACCAACTGAATAAAATTCTCCCACATGTTAACATCTCTATGCTTTCCGTTCACTTTAGCTAACATTCTTTCATATGATACATTCTCCACCATAGACTCAATCCACATTTTAAATGAAGGACATTGAATATCTTTCCAAAATCGGAGTATCAATCGTACTGCCGTGATTACACCCACTGTAACAAGGGAAAACTCAATATATTTAACCTGGGGAATCTCAGATTTATCGCCTAAAAGGCAAATCCTTGATGAGAATGGAAGGTTAAATCCCAAACATTCTCCAAGATATTTTAAAATTCTTATTCTTAAAATAACTTTCCCCTCCCTCCTGCCGTGACTTCTCTTCTCTGATGATGTGTTTACTGGTGTAAGGGCGCGGCAACCTGTCACTCACATGAGATTGACCAATAGCAAACCAGAACCGTATAATCAATTCCCCATGGACAAAATCAAGTCCCGCCCTGCATTCATTCTTGTTCCAGAAGCCGTTTCACTCGAAATAGGAAAGAAAAGACTATCGCACGACTTCAGTTTCATGCCGACTTTAATTCCAGTTCCTGTGTTCTGTAGTATGGCGGTGGATTACCCTTTGGTTCTGTATGACTGCCACTTCGAGGGTGTGAATTGGAGGAATGAAACGGAGGAGGAGAACCACGTCCTGAACTCACTGCACCAACACTGGGTTCAGAATGCAGTCAAGACGCAGGTTCTGCTCGGCATGATCCAAGGCCTTCAGAACACAACCACAGGTGGACATGCCAACCCACTGCCTGCTTTTTATCATAAATTAGCTTGTGAAACCATTCTAAAAAGTCATTTTTCTGTTGTTGTGTTTTAGAGATGGCTTCTCTGCAGTGTTGGCTCATGGAGGGGTCCAGGCAGAAGAAGTATCAGCCTCTTCTGGAGAGGCCACGCTGCCAGAGTTTGGAGTCCAGGATCCAGCACTTTGTGAAGAGGGGAAGATTGGAGCAAGAAGAAGGAGAGAACGGGGAGGAGACAACCGTTTTCAGGGGGAAAAAATCAAAACATTCCCATGTGACAAACTCAAACCAACTCCAGGAGCAGAACCACACAGCAAAAACCGAGGAGAACTTACAGTTATGAATCTTTGTTTTCTGCTCTGACTTTTGGTGTGTACAGAATGATTTGAAAGCAAAACAGAAATGTTATTTTTTTTCTTTCCCTCCCCCTAATATCCTACCTGCCTTGTCAAAAATAAGGCTTTTATTAAAGGATTGCTCCATGGGCTCTGATCATGTGTGGATTTGTATTTTAAATGAGACCGTCCCTCATTTATACACAACATCAGGGTGGAGATGAGGCTTTAATGCAAGAAAGTTACCAATTACTGGCTAAATTTACTGATTTATAGACATTAAATCCATGTGGTTGATTTATTAATGCCATGTGCTGACCCAGAATATGTTGCTTTCAATAAATAAATAAATAAATAAATCCTCCTCTGTAAATATGTAACGGTCAACAAAATCAGTTCGACGAAATTATATGATGCTGCTAATCCAAATATGTTTAATTATCGTATAAATTATTCTTAATTATCTTACAACTATTATTGCAGGTCCAAAAAGATAATTTGCTTACACTTTATAATAAGATCTTGTTAGTTAATATTATCTAACATGCACTAAAATTGAGCAATATCATTTTTAGAGTATTTATGAATGTAAAAATACAATAGTTTGTTCATATTGACAGCACATTAATCACAACTATCAATTACAACTTTATTAAAAAAAATTATAATACTACACATTTTTAAAACTTTAGATTACATGTTGGAAGGAACATTAATAAATGCTGTAGAAACTCATGTCGTTAACTAAAGAGACTAAAATAATGTCACATATATTGATGCAAATGATGCCAACAGCCTGGAAAACTAGTCTAATTACCGTGTTAATTTAAAACAAGCTTGAGCATATGGCAGCTTTTTTTTTTTTCTAAACTTGTACTGTAGTGATCCTATACAATTTGCTGCAGCAAAGACAAGAGGGGAATCATCATGTTGAATATTTATTAAGAACATTACAAAATGTAGAACATAAAACAAATCATGTAATCATTACATTTCAACATCCCTGAGAAAAGGAGTGTCATTTGCGCTGGTTCTTGCATGTCCCATGCTGCCACCTAATACGGGGCTATTCTCTATGCATTCTTCTGAGATCTCTTCTTGACCGAACCAACTTCTCAGGTCATTTCCCTCAGCATTACTGACCAATGTGTCTGTTGCAAACCAGTGGTAATGATTGGAAGAACGCAGGCAGAACAAAACACAACCTCCTCATTCAAAGGCTCTTGTTTTACAGCTCGTGACTCTTCAGTTTAGATCCTAGATCCTTTCAGCTGTGAAGACATGAATTTACAAGATAAAAAATGTCTGATATAACATATTTTTAGCATGCAAATTACAGGAATAGTTCACTCAAAATGAAAATGCTTCATTCTGTTCTTTGGAAAATAGTGAATGTCATCTTGTATTGCATGATCTGAGGGTGAGTAAATGACAGATTTGTTTTCGTGACTGTGAAAAAAAAAACATTTATACTTACGATGTGCTTTTTTTTCTTTTTTTTTCTGAGATTTTTTTCGCTTTCAACTCTGAGGACAGTGAAGCCACTTTTCTTTTTAGCCTTTTAATCGCGGTGTTCTTCAATTTTATTTTTTTCCTGCAGGCCTCAATCTTGCCCAGGACCAAGTTCAAACTGCGCTTCAGCATCTGTGCTTCGTTCTCTTGCATATCTGTCGTTGTTTGGGGGTCACCTATGGAACGGTAGCAGTGATCATGTCTAACTGCAATGACGCATATTTCAGTGGGGTAAATCACTGGCATCACACTGGTTTCGACCAGCTCCTGATCGGAAGCATCTTCCTCCATGTCCTGATCCAAAGCATCTACCTCCTCCTCCTCCTCCTCCTCTTTCACATATTCATCTAAAATGACCTCCTCTTCCACATACCTTCTCCCGGAATCCATTTTGAGACTGTATGTATGAAATTCAGGATTTTCATAATTTTCCACGTTCCTTCGCCTTCTATATAATTTGGTGCACCATGCTATCTTAAAGGGGTCAACCGAGAGAAATTTGGTGGGGACAGCCGTTTTCTTAAGGCACACTTGACCTTTAGTGCTCTTGAAGAAACAGCTGCCTTCAAAGTGGTGGGAACATATGCGAGAAGATGGAGATGGCTTGAAATCGTCACGTCCGATGTTCACCATCCACTGCTGCAGTCGATCTTTGTCACCTAATGGGAAACTGTCAAATGAATGGATAGATGGATTAGAGAATGGGATGGGAGAGATAGTCAAATATGATTTTAAAAGAACATGAGCTCACATAGTCAATAGGAGCAGATAAAAGTAGTATTCTTGGTAGAAAAGGAAAAAAAATAACTTTTTGTATTACAACAGAAAATATTATTTTACCACCAAAACACTGTTTATAACATTATAAGAACCTACTGAAATAATTTTAGCATATGTGAGTTATTAAATGGGCTTCTTTAAAAAAAAAAAACATACACAAAATATTAACATCTATTATTCATTACTAGACAAATAATTCTTAATATTTCTACATTTAAAGTAGACGCGATTGATCGACAAACACCGTTTTGACAATGTTACTGGACGGTTAAATTAGACTAAATCAATTAAATAACCAACCGACCGATGAAAACTTATACTGGACCCTGGTGATGAACGATTAGTACAATCCAAAGCTGCACACGACATGTTTAAATGTCAAGACTGGCGACACATCATCATATCACATCATCACAACAACAGAACACAACTTCTGTTTTTCCTTCAGCGGCGGCGCACAAACGTAAGAAGCGCGTTACTGCCACCTACTGTTAGTAATATATATGCTGATTATCGGGGTTGTTTTTTTTACATTAATTGTAAGTAATACATGCTGTTTTATCGTTTTAGCTGTTTCATATGTCATCATTTCAACTTTTAAATCTCTTTATGTTGGTGGGGTGGAATATTTAACCTCGACATTTTTTAGACACGATATTTACTACATGTTGCCATACGTTTTGGATGGTTGAAACAAAAAGGCTGTTCGTGCTTTTAATATTATTTGCATTTTATTTATATTATTATAACTGATGAATATGTATTGTGTATTGATGAATATGTGATGAACACTTTCGAATATGTATTTTTATACTTTGTTTTGTTACGTTTTTTATTATATTATATTTTAATTCTTTATTTATATTGTTTGTAGAGTGTAAATTATATTGTCATTGTAAACTAAATTAACAGGTTAATATGGTTCATGCATGCATAGAAAGGGGTTCGTGAAAGAAAAACAAGCCCGACCTGACTCACGGTGTCATGTGCTCACTCGGTCACGTGATGCACAAAAACTCAAACTCGGTCGGCTGAGAGCAGCGGTATAGCTACTGTATCTTCTTCACACCGTCCAGTTTTACGGTGATTTTTTCCACTGGCCTCGTGAAAATACGGTACGGTAAGCTCTTTATACTTATGACATCTTGTTTTTTAATAAATCAAGTCTTTGTTTAGGGTTTATTCCGGCCGAGCTCACGCGCTTCCGTTGGAAAACAAAAAAAATGCACGACGTGACATTGCGAGAGCATTTTATAATTAACGTTATGCCTTTTTAATTACTGATTTAGTGCGTCTCAAAGACCGGTTTTAAACCTATACTAACTGGTTAACTGACACAAATTGAAGTGATGTTATATAAAAGGAATAATTCACCCTAAAAAAGTGGTTCATGTTGTTCCAAACCTGAACATGTTTTGCTGAACACAAAATATATTTTGAAGAATACAGTTAACCAAACAGTTGATGGACCCCATTGAACAATTATTATGAAAGTCAATGGGGCCCATCAACTGTTTGGTAACCTGTATTCTTCAAAATATCTTTTGTGTTCAGCAAAACAACTTGTTTGTTTGGAACAACTTGAGGGTAAGTAAATGGTGACCGAATTTCATTTTTGGGTGAACTATACCTTTAAGACAGTGCTCATATAATGTGATCAATGGTCTGAGATGAGATTATCTGATAATGTATCAGAGTAATATACTAATGTATCCTGCAATTGTCGAATTGATGTATGTGAAATGCAGTTTTTATATGGGTCATACACCAAAATGATTAAAAAAAACACTACAACTAAATTTTTCAGAAAGTGATCTTTTCAAACCCTGTATGACTGTACTTGCTTTAGTTGTTTTGTTTTACAGTGCAAGAAAGTTGTCCATGGTTTTGCATCTGAACTTTTGAAGAGCATTATTGGGGGTCAGCAGTCACACACACACAATGGTGAGTCTTTTGTTTTTGCCTAGTTTTCTTAATATTTCCTATATTGTGATCTAAAGCTCTATCATCACTGCTACTATAAATAAAAGAGTAAATTAAACTGAGATTTTTCCATTTTGAAACAATATAGCTTTTTTTTAAATAAGTCTAAAGTCTGCTGAAGCGATTTTACATCAACCGGACATGACCTGGTATTGTAATGTCATGAGTCCGGCAGCAGTGTGTTTATCATTGTTGAGTTGCTCACTAAATGGACGCATTGTGAAATGCGTCTCTTTCTCAAATGTTGTAATGTTTGTCGGTCATCTGACTTAACACATTCAGGCATGTGAAATGTTTTAAATGAAATAAAAAAGTCACTTTCATTCATGATCCTTATGTATCAGATCTTTAATAATAAATATACTGTCATATAAAAACACAGAATCAAATCATGTTCAGTTCATCATGGCCTTTTCCTGTGTTTCAGGTGCGTGTGAGTGTCGTAGCGTTACTATGTGTGTGTCTGAACGTGTGTGTCGCTCTGATTTGTCCTGATGGAGGGATGTGTGAAGATGGAAACACCTGCTGTCAAACACCATCTGGAGGATATGGCTGTTGTCCTCTACCCAACGTAAGAGAGGCTTTTAGTTAAATGTGTTTTCGGGGGTTACTCTACAGTTTTAAATTTGGGATTGGTAGGATTTTTATTTTAAATGTACCGGTAAATTAAGTTTCTTATACTCGACAAGGCTGCGTTTATTTGATCATAAATACAGTAATATTGTGAAATGTTAATTTTTTTTTTTACATTTTAATATATTTAAAAAATTCAAGCAAATATGAGTATTTGATTTAATACATAAAATTAAGTCATTAAGTTTTTTTTTAATGCTTATGAAATAAGTCTCTTGTGTTCACCAAAGTTGCATTTGAGTAAAAACAATTTAAAATGTAAAATAACAGATTTCTATTGTAATATATTTTAAAATGTAATTTATTCCTGAATTTTCAGCATCATTACTCCAGTCTTCAGAGTCATTCTAATATAATGATTTTCTGCTCAAAAAAAATTTCTGATTATCATCAATGATTTAAACAGTTCATATTTTTGTGGAAACGGTGATACTGTTTCTTTTCCGGATACTTTAATGATTAGAAAGTTCAAAACAGCATTTTTTTTTAATAGAAATATTTTGTAACCTTATAAATGTGTTAATGCGTCATGTTTAAATAAAAGTATATACTTGTTTAAAAGCAAAAATACGACTAAATCCAAACTTTTGAACAGAAAAATTTACACTTCTACTACTAAAGTGAATTTCTTTTCATTCTTTTCGTGTTTAAGACATGTTTAATGATTTACTTTGTTCCCTTATTTAATGTGTGCTTTATTAAAAGGAAATTTCAGGAGATTATGTAATCTTATGCTGTTGCAGTCTTGTGACTTTCTTTCTCTATACAAACTTTACTTTTGTGTTCCACCGTAGATATTTTTTTTTGTTAACTATTCCAACACCAGCAACAATGAATACACATTGATTTCCAATGATTGTATGTGTGTTTTCAGGCAGAGTGCTGCTCCGATCACTTGCATTGCTGTTACCAGGGCACTCTGTGTGACTTGCAACACTCTAAGTGTGTGAATAAGACACACGTTTTAAACTGGGTGGAAAGAGTCGCCACAAAGCAGGTAGGCCTAATGCATACACACCTGCACAACCACAATTCAGATAAGCCTTGAGTAAATACTCAGCTTTGAAACGGATCTCTCTTTTTTATGTCTAGAAAGCAGTAGTTTGTCCAGATGAGACGTCTGAGTGTCCTGATGACACCACTTGCTGCCAGTTGCCTGATGGGAGCTGGGGCTGCTGTCCTATGAAAAATGTATTGATCATATTTCTATTCTGGAATGCGGTTACATATATTTATATGGTAATGTTTACATTTGTCTTTCTTTCCTCATGTGTGTGTTTAGGCCGTGTGCTGTGAGGATAAGGAACACTGCTGTCCAGAGGGAACCATATGTGACCTTGAGCATTCGATGTGTGTGTCGGCCACCAATGGACCCTCCCCCTTCTGGATGAAATTCGCTGCTTCTCGTAGGAAAACATCAGAGAAAAAAGCAGGTATGACAGAGGCTAATATGACATGGGATTTGTTTTACTTCACTTGGCATTAAATTGCATTATGTCAGCCATGATACTGGAAGATTTACACCACTGTTCAAAAGTTTTGAGTTTTCGACCGTTTTTTCATATTAAACTATGTTATTCCCTTAACTAAGACGAGTTGATGCATACCTCTGTCATCTCAGTGTGTGCACTCAGTCGCTCTGGCGCATTTGTTTGATAACAATACAGTAAAAGCAGTAATATTGTGAAATATTATTGCTATGTTTTCTATTGTCTTTAATTTTTTTGTATTTATTCCTGTGATCAAAGCTAAATTTTCGGCATTATTACTCGAGTCTTCAGTGTCACATGATTCTTCAGAGATCACTCTAATACGCTGATTTTCTGCCCAAGAAACATTTTTTATTATTATAGTTTTTGCTGCTTAATATATTTTGTGGAAACCGTGCTACAAATTTTCAGGATTATTTGAAGATAGAAAGTTAAAAAAGAACAGCATTTATTTGAAATCTTTTGTAAAATTATAAATGTCGTAGGTTGTTTATTTGAGGGAGAGTTTTATTGGGGTATTAACTAGGGATGGGCAACGATTAATCGCGATTAATCACATCCAAAATAAAAGTTTGTGTTTACATAATATATGTGTGTGTGGTATGCATAATTAATTTGTATATATAAATACTCACACATGCATGTATATATTTAAGAAAAATGTGTAATTAATATATTTATATTTATATATAATATTAATTATGTATAAATATATATAAAGTGCAAATATTTCTTAAATATTTAATATTTAAAAAATGTTTAATTAATATATCATATATTTATATTTATATATAATATTAATTATGTATAAATATATATAAAGTATATACATGCAAATATTTCTTAAATATATACATTCATGTGTGTGTATTTCTATATACAAATTAATTATACACACTACACACACATATATTATGTAAACACAAACTTTTATTTTGGATGCGATTAATTGTTGCCCATCCCTAGTATTAACAGTGGGGAATGATAATTTCATTAATTCAATGTTATTATCTGTTGACCTGATGTTCCAAGCAGAAAAACCAATAAAGAGATTTAAAATACAAAATTATAGATGTCTTTCAAGTAATTAATACATCATTGCTAATTTACTTAATTCTTTAAAAAAAAAAAATCATACTAACCCCAAACTTTTGAACGTTAGTTCTGTGTAATGTCCTGTAATTTATAGTTCTTATTGCTCATGCACCTTTTATGTCACTGGGACATACAAAGATGTAAAAGTTATTTTTAGGAATTAGTAGAATATCTTTAAGTTTGCTTGTCAGTTTCACTCCTGTTCATGAGTGTTTTTATATTGTATTCCTGTTACTGCAGTTGATCCGCCTGCAGACTTCAGAGATATCAGAGATGGTAAGACTAACTCTGGCACCTGCAGTTTTATATATATATATATATATATCATCAAGTGTCTTTGTTGGAAATGAGACCTCAGGCTTCTGTGTGTGTTTATGTGGGCAGTGATCTGTCCAGATAGGATTTCCTCATGTCCAGAGGATACAACGTGCTGTGAAAAAGAGACGGGAGGCTACGGATGCTGCCCGATGCCAAAGGTGCCTCATGTTTGTCCTAATGTATAATTAAATGTATTTGATGGTTACCCTATGGTTTGAATGTATTTTACTCAACATTAACTAAATGTAAATGTGTTTTACTGTAGGCTGTGTGTTGTTCTGATCATTTGCACTGCTGCCCAGAGGGCACAACATGTGACCTTGTCCATAGTAAGTGTTTGTCAGCCAATGGCGTCACAGAAATGGCCACTAAGATCCCGGCAGTCACTCCCCTGAAGCCTAGAGGTGAAATTTTATCTTTGTGCAATTAAAAGTTTTTCAGTTTGTGTTTGTAGCTGATCCTCATTGCTCAAACCATTCTGGATTGTGAGTGTGGTGAACTTTGCTCAATATAGACTTTGCCTCAATCCATCTATTTCTCGCTCTTTCTGTCTTCAGAGAAACCAGTTCCCTGTAATGAAACAGTAGCGTGTGCTAGCGGGACCACCTGCTGTAAAACTGAAGGCGGCACCTGGGCCTGCTGTCCTTTACCACAGGTATTCTTCACTGCGGAAAGTTGGAGTGTGTATAATTTACAATTTGAATTGCTTCAATACATTGCAACAAACAGCTTCAAGTAATGCAAAGGCAGTCTATGATGTTTTCGTGTCTTCTGACCTCCAGGCAGTGTGTTGTGAGGACCATGCCCACTGCTGTCCAAAAGACACGGTGTGTAACCTCCCAGAGGGCACCTGTGATGACCCTGCTGACCTTTCAGTGTCTGTACCCTGGGTGACAAAGGTCCCTACCTTTACATTAGCTCTATCCGATCAGAAATGTGACGAGACCTCTTCGTGTCCGGATGATTCCACCTGCTGCAAACTGCCATCTGGAAAATGGGGGTGCTGCCCAATGCCAATGGTACGTGTGTGTGTGTAACACTACAAAATAATTAGAAGTATAATCAATTAAAATATAAAATGTTATGTGTATTTTATATATATATGTGTGTGTGTATTATATATTAAAATACACATATTGTATAAAATGTATTTATATTTTATTTTAAAATAAATGTAATGTAAAAATAAAAATTCAATTCAAATAAATATATAAATAAATATATTTATTTAAATAATAAATATATAAATAATATATTTTTTATATTATATATATATATATATATATATATATATTTTTTTTTATATATATATATTTAAATAAATATTTATTCTAGGCCTGTCAAACGATTAATCGCGATTAATCGCATCCAAAATAAAAGTTTGTGTTTACATAATATATGTGGGTGCACTGTGTATAATTATTTTGTATATATATAAATACACACACATGCATGCGCATTTAAAAAATATATAAAATATTTATATATAATATAAATTATAAATAAATCTATATACAGTATTTACATGAAAATATTTCTTAAATATGTACAAGCATGTGTGTGTATTTTTATATATAAAAGAATTATACACAGTGCACCCACATTTATTATGTATACACAAACTTTTATTTTGGATGCGATTAATCGAGATTAATCGTTTGACAGCCCTAATTTATTCATTTTACATTTATTTAATAACTTACCTAAACTTCTAGGCAGTGTGTTGTGAGGACCATCTCCACTGCTGTCCCCACGATACTGTGTGTAATCTGGCCGCCAGCACTTGTGACAGTGCCAACGATCAGGGTCTCCGTTTCTCTGTGCCTTTGGTGAAGAAGATCGATGCAGTGACCCTGCCATCGCAGAACCAAAACTGTGACGAGACATCGCTGTGTCCATCAGGGACGACCTGCTGTAGACTAACCTCAGGGGCATGGGCCTGCTGTCCTATGCCACAGGTAAACACATTCAGCAACAAGGGTTTAGGCCTAAAGCTCTAAAGCACAGGTGTGCACACATGCTCGCACTTGCATATAACGCTGTCTAGGCTGCTTACTATGTTATGTTAATTATGACCATCCTTTACAGAGAATGCAATACCATAATGCATTATAAATAAATGTACCGGTACATATTTCATGTGTACACTGAATATAAAGTATAGGATAGATAAAAACATTTTTATATTTAAAATGAATAGCATAATGCATATCAATCTTTTAACATATTTATTTGTAATATTGAAATTTGCGATTTGTTTTTATACTCACTTGAGTATTTTAACACCAAACTCTGATGCTGAGTTGTATTAAGTTTCCACTAATGTGGATAATTCAATATTGTAGGCCGTGTGCTGTGCCGATCAGGAGCACTGCTGTCCGCAGGGATACAAGTGTGACTTGGCTCAAAAAACCTGTGTGCGTCCTGGCCTTCCCAGCATGCCCTGGTTCAGGAAGGAGTCTGCACTGAGCGTGAGCCAGCAGTCTGATGAGAATACTCCAGATCCAGTGGACAGACACATGTGTGACGCTCACAACAGCTGTCCAAGAGACGACACCTGCTGCCTAATGGGCAATCTCGGCAAGTGGGGCTGCTGTCCACTGCCTAAGGTTAGATATGCCATTATTAGTCCATTCACTTATTCACAATGTAAATGCCACATGTGAGCCTTAAATGACCATAAATGAGTCTTAAATGACCATAAATGAGTCTTAAATGACCATAAATGAGTCTTAAATGACCATAAATGAGTCTTAAATGACCATAAACGAGACCTTAAATGACCTTAAATATGTTGATAATTCACACATATAGTATATTACAGTTGAGAAAATATATTCAAATATCTTAAAATGTATATTTTCATATATATGCAATAAATACATGCACTTACATCTATACTGTGGCAGATTATTGATGACATAGAAGGATAGGTGTGTCGTTTGGGTCGGTGTGGTCGTTGTTCTCATATAAACACTATATAAATGGACACTAGAATATTTATTAATTTTAGTCATTTATTTTTTCATTTAATTTAAGTTATTAGTCATTATGATTTATTTTTCATTGTTTATTTATTTGTTTTTGTTGGTTTTATTTAATTTCTTCACATTTATTTTATATCTATATAATTTATATATAGTTGCCAGTTATTTGTATTTATTTAATTTGTTTTATTTTAGTTATTTAATTTCTTTTTTTGTTTAGTTTGTGTATTTATTTTACTTTGATTAACATGTTTAATTTCAAGATAACTGCTGACAAACGTCCAACATAATGAAGCGTACTGCCATTAGAATTTTTATTGTTGTCTATTTTGTATCATACAAAACAATTGCGTTCTGTATATAGTACTCCATTACGAATGTAATGAAGGAATTCATTCCTCTTTTTAAGGCGGTGTGTTGTAAGGATGGAGATCACTGTTGCCCTAGCGGCTACACATGTAACGAGAAGAAAACAACCTGCATTAAAGCCGACCATGAGATCCCCTGGTACACAAAACAAGAGGCCAGGGCCACGAAGGGGTCAGAGGCATTGCTGGGACACACAGATGTGAAGTGCGATTCATCCACGAGTTGTGCGTCTGGTTCTACCTGCTGTAAATTATCCACAGGCCAGTGGGGTTGTTGTCCTCTTGTCAAGGTAAGTCCGGTTTACACCAGGTGTTAAGATGCGTTTTGCACGATCATATCACAAGTGGACGACATTTTGAGATTTACCACTTTACACCACTTCCAGAGGTAGTCGAAAATGCATTGCTTTCGTAGTGTAAAAAAAGCGCCATATAATATTATGGGAATGTTATTCCATCTGATTCTCCGAGCACCACAGGGTTTGTTTTCATGTGTTTTGCATTCTTCTGATGTTCTTTATGCAGGTGTGTGTGCTCTTCACTGATTGGGTGTATTGTGTCTCTGCAGGCTGTGTGCTGTGAGGACCACGAGCACTGCTGCCCACAGGGCTACACCTGCAACCTTGAATTTGGAACCTGCGTTAAACCTTCCAACGAGCGCAGTGTTGCTCTGACACGATTACAAACACACACCGACGCACATTTAGAAGAGGAGGTGTTGTGTGACGAATCGACGCGCTGCTCAAAGACACAGACCTGCTGTAGACTATCAGACTCCACATGGGCTTGCTGTCCATATAAAGAGGTACTATCACTGTTACTTTAATATATTTTTGCTGAAATAAATGTTTATTTATCAATTAACTGTTTTTATTTGTATTTTATTCAATTTTTTTGTTTACTGAAATTATTTATTTATTGTTATTTGTTAATTTTGCATTTATTTGTTTACTTATTTTGTTTGACATTTATTTGTTGTTTATTTATACTTTTTTTATTTGGGTTTTTTTACTGAGATTTGTTCTCTGATTAAATATATTTTTATTGTTTACTGGAATTTGTTTATTATTTGTTTTGATTACTGTAGTCTTTTACTAAACCAAATTTGGGAAAGACAAAAGTAATTCAATAAAACAAATAAACAAATGACTGTAAACAATAAAAACATGTATATGAATACTAAAATTCAATATTATAAAATAATATTAAAATTAAAATTGTAATAAATATTAAAATTAATACTGAAATAAAATTTGGGAAAGCAAATAAATTACATGCATAAAACACAATACATTTATTATTTATTAAAATTGATAACCAAATTAATAAATAAAATGATTTAATCATGTATTGTTTACAGACATTGATATATATATTTTTAAAGAATTAAATTGATATATATATATATATATATATATTTATTTATTTATTTTATTTTTTTTGTTAAATTATTTGTTTTATTCAGTTATTTATATTTTGAGGGTGGTTGAGGAGCGATTCCCTGATATGATTGTATAGCGCTTTGGGTGTAAAGTAGTACATATGAAAAGTGCTATATAAATGCCTGCCTTCATTCATTCATATTTTATTCAGTTATCTATTAGTTACCAGTTGTCTATAAATACTTATATTTTAAATAATAATACATATTGATGAGGATGAGATTTGAATTACACTGATCATTTGGGGTAAGAGTGCTTAATTGCCATTACAATAAAAATGTGTGTGTGTGTGTATATATATATATATATATATATATATATATATATGCTAGTTTTTTTGGCATGTATTTGTCATTTTTGTTTATTATTTATATATATATATATATGCTAGTTTTTGTTTATTTGTTTTTTATTATGTTTGTTTGAAATGTATTTAAATTATTCATGTTTTATTAATTTGCTAAAGCATGCAAACATTTGACAGATGTTTCTCTCTCTTTGTGTAGGCAGTGTGCTGTAAAGACATGAAGCACTGTTGCCCTATGGGATACAAATGTGACTCGGAAGTGCAAAGTTGCACTAAACCATCCACGGCCACTTGGTGGGATAATTCTCTTTAAGTGGAAAAAACATGAACTGACACTGGATAGCACACACACACACACACACACACACACACACACATACTCACATGTTGCATAAAGCATTGCTTTCTAAGATGCCCTCTTTAGATAAGGGACTGTGCATCATGTTTTTTCTTTAATATTTAGTTTTTACCAGAATCAAAACACACCAAGCCTTATGCTTAAGCAGGATACACACAGACATTTTTTTGTGTTTGATTTAAATTCATTTTTAAGGGAACAACAAAACCAATGCACATTTTCAATGTTATTATTTCACTTTCAAGCCTCAAGTTCTGCACATTTCCCAGAGTGGCTATAGAAGTGATTTTTCAAGATGTGAAATAATTAGTGACACATAAGCCAAGTAAATGAAAACTGAAGTCAATCGTGTGCGTTGTTTGAAGATGTTGATTTTATGCAATTTAAATTGTATGGCTGATTACCACACGATCTAAGAAAAGATATGAGAAATGACTGAGAATCTAAACCGAATGTATCAGCAGTGAACTAAACCTAAAACTAAAGTTCCGATGCATCAACCACAAAAGAAACCTCAGTGATTTTAATCTGTAAAATGTGTTCCAGAATTGCAACTGCAATTGGGCCGTGATAAGAATGGATGCAGCCAAGCATTTAACCCTATATTTTACTTATAGGCTGTTGCATGCTAGGGTTAACGCAACCATTGCAGGTGTCATTTAAAATGTTCCAAGTTGTCCGTATGGATTTTTAAAAGTTTTACAAATGTTTGAAATTGTGTCATTCTCAACATTTCACTATAGTTAATTTTGAGATTTGTCTTTTTTTTGTTTTATCTGATTTTAAAATGTACCGAAGAGTCAAATCAATTTGCTTACTTATTACCTGTGATACAATGAGGTTGATTTGTTTTTTTCTCCATTATTTGTTGAAGTGGATTTGATTTTGGTTAATTATACCAGAAAAAAAACTCTGAAATTAAATACTTTTAAAATAGATTGCATGTTGACTCATTCATGTCTCATCTGACTTGTTTTGATAAACTCTGTCTTGTTCCCATGGTGCATGTTGGCAGATCCATCTCAGCAATGTGATTGAATTTGTACCGGTATTGGAATAGTCATGTAAATGCCTTTAACCAATCAGAGAGGCTGACACCGTTATTCCAAATAGCTGTTGCTTGATGGACTCATGTTTCACAGCTTGCGTTCTGCGTGTGTTTGAGGTCTCACTAAGACCGGCTAAAACACTGTTACCATTCAGCTGACGCCACACAAGAGCTGAAAACAATATTGATCGGCCAAGTGTGTTTGACGAAGGAAGAAAACTTAAGTTTGCTGATTTCCAGAACCCTGTCCTGGCTGATTCTTCTGGTATGTTGACATGTTTTTTTTTTTTTTTTGTCACAGCTCGAGAACTTGCACAACACTTGACCGGAACAACTTTAGTATACTGGTGTAAGCTGAATTAAAATAGCAAAATGGCAAGTGAGTTTGTAAAAATAGATCACTGCTAAATCAAAATGTATGTATAGGACCATTCAAAAGTTTGGTACTGTAAGTTGGTAAGATTCATTCTTGTAATGACTCATGCTCACCAAGGCTGCATTTATTTAATTAAAAACAGATATATTGTGAAGTATTACAATTCAAAACAACTGTTTTTATTGTAATGTATTTTAAATAGGGCTGTCAAACGATTAATCGTGATTAATCGCATCCAAAATAAAAGTTTGTGTTTACATAATATGGGTGCACTGTGTATAAATATTTTAGATATATAAATGTACACACATGCTTGTATATATTTAAAAAAATATTTCATGTATCTACTGTATAGATTTATATTATATATAAATATTTTATATACAAATCATATTTTTTTTTCTTAAATATACAAGCATGTGTGTGTGTATTTGTGTATATATACAGAATAATTATACACAGTGCACCCACATATATTATGTAAACACAAACTTTTATTTTGGATGTGATTAATCATTTGACAGCCCTAATTTTAAAATATAATTTATTCCTGTGATCAAAGTCTTCAGTGTCACATGATCCTTCAGAAATCATTCTAATATGCTGGTTTACTGCTAAAAAAATTCATATTTTTAATGCATTTTCTCAGGATTCTTTGATTAATACAAAGTGTTCTTGCTGAATAAGTCTGAAAATAATCCTAACACACCCCATACTTTTAAACAGTCGTGTCTCTCGTAATTTTTGGATAACTCCTGGTTATGTGTGTTAATTATGGAGCTGATATGTGTGAATGCTGTACGGAATGAAGGCATTCTGCGCATGTGTGATTCTGTTGAGCCCTTCAATGAACTAAATCACTGGGTGAAAGTTTGACGATGCAGCAAACACTAAGTGGGAATAAATAATTCAATGCAGATGATAAAGAGACTGGCATAAATTGCAAGAATGTTGGAATGTTGATAAATGATCCGGTGTGAGAAAGTGGGAAAGGGAGAGACTGGGACAGCTGAAGGGAAGCGAGAGACTTCAAACGTGCCAAAATGTCAATGCTATTAATACACCTCAGCAACTGCTCTCCAATGAACACTCGATCTGAGAGAGGAAGTGATGGTAAAAACAGTTATCTTGCTTTATTTTATTTTTTTTGCATTTTTCTTTTAAGTTGAGGCGAAAGAGGAATGGCCATACCGAGCATGTCTCGCTCCAGCAGGCTTACAGATGTTTCTACACTGCTTTATCTGGATGAAGGAGGGACCTCGACGACAGACACGGAGTGTGGAGAGGAGTCTAATCTTCAGCCAAGAGCTTTAAAGGAGCCTCAGACAGTGCGTGTAGTAGAAGACACTGGAATATCAAACTTCATGGCGAAGGGTGAGGGAGGACAGTCACTTTAAAGGTTAATGGGTTCAAGAGCGGATGTCAACCATTTTTTAGACAGAACGGGATCATCTTATATTCTTATAAATAAACTTTCTTCCAAGAACCATCTAGCAGTGTTGTCGTACTCGAGTAACGGTCATTTTTTGAAGGTCCTGTCTCGGTACTCGGGTACATTTCCACAGACGACAACGTTGTCAAAACGTCAAATAAAAAGTACAAATTATTTGTACTTTTTACATTTTAAATAAGCTTATTTTAGTATAATTTATGTACTGATAGTATTTAATAATAGTTTGAATTAGCTTTTTATTGTTCATTTTATTTGACGTTTTATTAATTTACTCGTGTACTTTTTCAGTTTCTATTTCGCTTGAATTTATTTTTATTCCCATTTTAGTTGTATTAATTTTACTACTTAAACGTATTTTATTTAGGTCTGCGAAACGATTAATCGCGATTAATCGCATCCAAAATAAAAGTTTGTGTTTACACAATATATGTGTGTATAATTATGTTGTGTATATAAATACACACGTATGCATGTATTTATTTTAAGAAAAATGTGTTATTGATATATCAAATATTTATATTTATGTATAATATTAATTGTGTATAAATATATATATATAAAGTATAAACATGCAAATATTTCTTAAATATATACATTCATGTGTGTGTATTAATATATACAAAATAACTATACACACTGCACCCACATATATTATGTAAACACATAGTTTTATTTTGGATGTGATTAATCGTTTCACAGCCCTAATTTTATTTCAGTAAGTTGTCGAAATAAAAGTTTTTCATCTAATATTTTATTTTAGCTTAATTTCAGTTAATGTTAATTATTTAGTTTTTGTTTTAATGAGATGGTTCACTTTAGAGGTTAATTTGGATGTGTCACATATGTTTTAAGTGATGTTTACATGTATTTACAGGCGAGGAATATCAAACATTTGGCTTTACATGTACAGAAGACAACAATATCCAGTCGTGCATCAGCAAAAGGTTTGCACAATTGTGACTTTCAATTAAATCAAAGGTTTATGGTTCCATTTATTGATTAAACTGGGATGTTTTCTGTGGTCATTCAAAGGTCCGATGACTCCAGTGAGAGAGAGGAGAAAGCTACATCCCGCTGCTTCAGGAAACGTCACAGGAAAAACAGAACGGAGATTGAAGACCTGAAGAAAAGAAGGAAAACATGTAGAAAAGTGAGATTGAGAAGAAATGCTCCTGTTGATTTTGACCACAAGAGCTTCTCAACACCGGAGCGTTTATCCCAAACTCCAGATTTCAATGTGTGGGAATGTCCTCAGGATGCAGGTGCTTCCCATTTACGTATTCATAGGCTGGAAGTTGACTCACCTTCTACCATCGAGTCTCGCAGCTCGATATCTGGCGGTGTGGAACCAAACTTAGACTCTGAGTTTATTTACGCTGAGAGCATCAAGGGATGCGACTCTTCTTGTTACACTACTCCAGTTGACTGCAATATTCCCAATACCCTTGTCAAAACTGATATATGCAACGAACAAGACCTTGTATCTGTCTTAAAATGCTTCGATGAAGAATCTGAAGGCTCAGATTGTGATTTGTACGTCTCGAGTAACGTGCCCGGTTGCAGTATAGAAGCTACAGCAGGTTCTGGATATTCCTGCTATACTTCCAGGTTGAAAACTGATCGTTTTAGGTCTTTCATAGATGATTTTGACTTTAATTCAACTTGTATTTACACGGACTGGGACAGGAGAGCCGACAGCACAGAAACCGCCCACCGTTGCAGTCTAATCGAGGCGGAGTGGGGTTCAGCTTCATCTAGATGGAGCTACAGCTCAGATAGTTCATGCTACACCACAGACTGTAACACAGACATACAAACAAGCAGCTCAGATTCAGACAGCTGTGGTTTAGAGGATCTTGGTGACATAAGATTCCCAGACGGATGCCCTGAAGTGTTTTTGCCAGGTTGCTTTGATGCCCTTGGTGCATTTAAAGACATCTGCATTGACACAGAGAGCAATTCAGAGTCTTCCATTTCAAGGTTTTGCTCTGAACTGGAAACAGGGGAACTGCGGGGCGTTGTGACTCAAACGGACCGTTGGCATTTCTCTGAATTTTTCGGTGAAATGGTTAAAGAAGTAACACAGGAGAAAGACACAGAGAAAGTGAATGTAAACGAGGGGTTTCTGTTCCACCCTAAGCAGGTGTGTGACTAAAGACATGATACAATGAATATTAAGAATAAGAATATATTGTATTATGTACAAAAAGTGGGCAAAATAATAAGGTATTTCCTGATATTAGATATTTAATTGTCCATTCTCATTTAGATATTTGGCATATAAAACTCACTTAAATTTAATCTTTAATTTATGTTTTTTTTTTATTTAGACAAAGCAAAAAAATCCCAATTTCTTTTAAATATTTCAAACTATACAAAAAGTATATTGTATTGCTGTCAAATCAATTTATCGTAGTTAATCGCATCTAACATAAAAGTTTGTTTATATAATGTGTGTGTATATGTACACACACACACACACACACATATATAAACAAACTTATGTTAGATGCGAGTAATTGCGATAAATTGATTTGACAGCACTACAATATATTTTTATATAAATGTATATTATTTATATCATATATATATATAAAGAAATTTTTACTTGTAAAGACAAATTTACTTGTCTATATATATATATATATGCATATATAATATAGTCACAAACTTTTTAGATGTGATTAATCAATAAATAAATTTGACAGCCCTAATATATTGCTAATATACATTTTAAAATATATTTGCATAAATATATTTTCAATACATTTTAGTTGTATTTCTTCATATTTTGGGGCAAATTTAAATATATGCATATTGTCAAAAATATATTTACAAAAAACATATTGCATTTACTTTCTTACCCATTGTAGTACATTTTCTTAAAAAAAGTATTATATCTAATTATATATAGCCTATATATGCAGTATATATCAAATATCATATATATATATTAAAATCATTTTAATGTCTGCCATTTATCAGTCATAACGTGAATATTTTATTATCAGTTCCTCCCACATTCTATGACAATATTTAGCAATTTCAAAACAGCACAA